ATTCCTTGCCTTCACAGTTGCCACCTTTTTTCTGCTGAAGCCATCAGTTCTTACAGACTCATTTAGGGTAGTGTTTCCCAACTAGGGTTCCACAGCACAATGGTGTGCCATCAGAAATGAACAGGTGTGCTGTGGAATTTTGCTGTGGCAATGAGCTGTAATGTGCTCATAAGCATAGGGATGGACAATGCCTTAACCAGTGTGTCACAGAAAATTTTTATTAGTGTAAATGTGCCTTGAACTGGAAAAGGCTGGGAAACACTGATTTAGGGTACTACGTGTACCCTAGGAGCTAAAGTTATAATGGAAAGGGGAAAGATTACTATCTTGTCTTCTTTAAATACTATAAAAAAGCAAAATATGGGCAAAAGTCTAACTTAAAAATGTTATGTTACTTTTAATATAAAGGATCATCTGTTTCTTAAAATCAAGCTATAGTAGTGCTTGCTTCAAAGACATAGGTATCTTTTTCCAGGTGTTTTTGGCTGCATCCCCAAAATCCTTCTTTCCATAATCATTTTATGCTACAGATGCATCATCCTTGCATAGCATATGGAGATAACTAAACATTTCTCTGAATTTCCTTTTGTTTTGGTTATTGGTTGGTTTGGAACACAGTTTTAATATTACAGGAACAAGTTTTCTGCACGTCTGGGTTTAATTTCAGATTAGGGGTTCAGAAGTTGTAGATGATCCTTTGGATCTAGAGGCTCAGAAGAGAGGCCAAGATCTATCTGGAACACTAAAAATACTTGAAAAATCTCACTGAGACGTATGCAGCCTGTTCTTTCAATAAATACCACACCATTTCTTCTTAAAATTGGAAAAGAGTCTGAACCAGACCCTGGAAATGGAACCAGACTATTTTTAAAGATACAGTTGGAATGAATGAAGTTCTTTTAACAGAAAAATGTTTGCACTTTTTATGAGAGCAAAGGTAACATTGTGTAATCTTTAAAAAGATATTGCTCACGGAGGGTAAGTCCATTGTCCAGTGACATGACTTTTCCTGTCAATCACAAAGGTGACAAGGGGGCTAGATTAAGTAAAGCTTGCCCAAGATTAACAAAGGAAGATTATTGACCTCATCCTGAAAGGGCAGAAGTCTGTTTTATCATTAAACCTTGGAAGAGAGATTCTTCCATAGGTAGAAACTTGTTTGGCAATATGCTGGCCACTTTCATGTACATGAACACGTCTTTCTCTGGGCTCCAGCTCTGGACAGAAGCAGAAAGAAGATAAATCTTGGGTCAATCTGGTTTTCATGGTTGGGGGAGAAAAAGTACAGTGTGTCTCTATCAACCACAATCTTTGTAGGTTTCTGGCTGCCATCTGAAGTGGGGAAAACAAGAAACAACTACATCAGGTGCTGGTGAGTACAGTCCCAGTTCAGAGTTTGATTGAGTGTTGTGCCAGCACACATTAGCAGGCAGTTCACAATGTAAATGAACAATAGAACCCCATGCATAAAACAGCTGCTAACTACATAAAGCTGTTACAAGGATTAACAGTGCCAGAGGCGGAAATGTAATCAAACTTGAACAGGTGAAATTGTTACATAGCAAACAGAATTTTCCTGAGTGAAATAGCAAGTGTCTGGTTTTCCATTGTTGTGGTGACTGGGACTTTTAATATTTGTGCAGTTTCTTGAATTCCATAAACATTTCCTACCTTAGAATCTATTTAGATTTTTTATGGCACTCATTACAAAACTGTAAATTGCTTTTCTCTCAGACTGAAGTTGTGTGGATTCGTGGTTTAAAAAGAGAAACCTACTAAATTTCACTGATTCTGAAGAAAATTTTAGAGAGGTTTTGAAGAAATCTTTCTTGTCTCTATGAAATTTGCCCTGTATTTTTAATGGGATTTTTTAATTATCATGTCTGGTATGATTTCTTAAGGATTCCAACCATTCTTTTTAGCTTCATATAGCCATTAACAAGAGTTATCTGTTTAGGGAATTCCCCTTAACCATTAATGTGTTTTTGTTTCATTTTTGTTTACTGATAATCAAGTGCAATAGAATAAAATGAAATAGAAAATGAAGTAACTAAGCATTTCAAGTTGTGTTGTAACATGATTGGCTGGTAAAGTTATTTTGATTTGCTGAAGTTTACACATGTCAGTCTCATTAGTACTAATATGCAGTGTGCATCTCTTTCTACATAGAAAGAGGAAAGTAGAGATAGGAGAATAGATCCTTTTAGATGGCAAATATCACAGTAAATGTATGACTGGCCCAGATCTTTTTGGATTAAGAATTCACTGGTATTCCTTAGTGTTAGAACTTGAATTCAGCTATGGCTCTAAAATGCATGTTTCAATTAAGTGCAGCAATCAATATATAACACTTCCATATAAACAGCTAGTATATGTACATCCAAACACTATGTATATACACATAGAAGCAAAGTAGTTTTTACAAGAAATGGAAACAATTTACCTTTGAAGCAGGATGTTTAAATTATAATTTATTTCACAGATGTTTATTCATTTGAAATATATCCAGGGCTCAGATCTGAGTTATATTTCCTGCTATCAGGTCATCTGTCTAGCTACCTTGGTACTTGCATTTTCCTTCTGTGCTATTTACACAACCAGAAGTTATCATTACATCAGTATCTGTACATACCCCAAAATAAAAAAGGCAAAAATCAGTTTGCTGTTTTATTTAGACTTCACATCAGATTAAAAATCATTACAAAAAGACGGGGAAAGAACAGTTAAGAATTCTTGATTAATAATCCCCTGTGGCAAATGCTTCTTGCCCCTTTGTGTGTGATATATGACATATACAAAATAATGCATGATTATTTTGGAGGCCTAATTTGGAAGAAAAACAAGGAACTCTTTGTAAAATTGCTAGCAATACTTTTTCCTAGAGATACTTGATGATAAAGGCTGAGTTAAGTTACTGTAACCAAGGAAAGCAGTTCACAGCTTTGTCTTGAGAAGGCAAACAAGTAAGAAACTTTTCAGAATATTTCTTCTTTTAACCTTGCCGATAAAAGAAAAAATGCAGCTTTATGACAATAGGTATGAATGACAAGTCAATCTTGACCTAATGCTAGAGGTAGCTAACTTGCAAGTCTAGACCAATACTTGAACATTTATCATTCTGGTCCACACTTGCAGTAAAACTGTGTTCACGTCCAACTTAACTCTATGCATTACTGAAAGCTTTTGTTAGCAAAAGATAATTTTTCAAGTATAGTCCAAACCTGTAAGAAGGTTCAAGAAAAGGAGAGTTTCTGTCAAATTGGAATAGATTGTTTTTTAGAGCCTGATCCAAAACAAACTGATATCAATAGAGAGGCTTCCATTAGGTAAGGCTTTTGGAGCAAATAATGGGCCACATTCTGATCTCAGAACATCTGAAGTCAGTCCAGAAGGCCAGCAGTGTAACTAGCTGGTCAAAAAGGAGGGGTTTTTAAAATTGTCTTTTTGCCAAAAACAAAATGTTCTGTGAAAAATCATCAACATTATTGATTTTTTCCTACAATTTTTAGGCTTGAAATTTTGCTTAAATTGTATTAAAAACCATTATGCTTTTTTTTGTTTGTTTTTTAACTGAAACTTCACCTTTTCAGTAAATAAAGAGTGCAAAATTTGAACCAGTGAAAATAATTGGTAAAATCTGTTGTGGAAGATTTTACTCAAATGGCTAACAGGTCATTATCCAACCCTGTGACAACGAATTTTGAAAACAATTCAGATATTTTTAAAATTATCTATAACTGCTTTCAGAATTCTGTCCGCTGATATTTTTAGAAACAGCAATATTTAATGGGTACCTGCTATACAAAGAATAAGGACATATTCTGTGGATTTAGTTGGAGCTAAAGAAGAACAGAAAAACCCAAACAGAATAAACCATTTAAAATAGATAACAGATATAATTATTTTTGTAACATTAGGTAATACAATGCACACAGGGTGTGCCTACATGAAACATTTACTGTGGAGTTTATCAATTAGCTCCAGAGAAAGAGAGAGAGAGATCATCATAAACTCGGCAGTAGTACTTGTAAATACATTATTGCATATGTAGATGTGCCCATTTGTGTAATAAAATTATGATCTTCATTGAAGACATTGAAATCCCATGTTTAAATGGGATACCTAAGTATTTGCAATATTTGGTCCTAACATAGGAAGAAAGGATTAGAGTTACACACAAATGAGTCAGTAATGCAGAGGAAGTTGGTTTACATACTAGGAGACGCAAAGGGAAAGGTCTCACATTAATGAAGGTAAGTTTGTAGGTATTGGAGCCAGATTAGATTCCCACTAAAGTCAATGAGAAAGCTCCTGTTGACTTTAATGTAAGGAGGAGTGTGCCTATATACTAGAAAATCACGCTTTTGTGTCACTGTGCCACCTGTGAGTGTCATTAGGACCACCTTTGTAGAAAATTTCTTTAAAAGGGATGAGGGTGTTAGGTGAAGGAGGAGAAAAGAAAATGAATTAGAAGCTGTAAAATGATTGCTTCTTCCCTTCGAAATGGGAGAACTACTTGAACTGTGAGTTAAAAAAAATCATATAGTGCAGGGCATTTAATATCTGATTATTATTTCATTTCCAACAGCAACTAGCCATCATGGCATTAAGTACTTTAAAAGGCAGGAAATTAATGGTCCTAGGGAAAAAATTGAAGATTGCACATAGAAAGTTGTAAAAGAGCAAACAATTAAAGGTAATCAATATCATTGTTATTAGAAAACCTATGAGTGCAACACTTCTCCTCAATTAGAGAAAAACTGTATTTTATGTTTTTCTCCTGCAAGCTGATCTTTGCTCACTTCAGCCTGTAATCTTGGTTTATCCTTTATGGAGAGGCTTTGTTCTGGATGTTTTTGAAGCATTGCATTTCTTTTGAAAGGTTTCAACAGAAGAACAAACAGCAATGAACTCAAAGAACAAAGGGTTGTTTCTTTCTTTCGTTTTTTTTCTTTCTTTTTCCCCCTAAATTGTTTCATCTGATGTCTCTCCTCTTTCAGGAAGTTGATGGCAATAAAGTGATGTCTTCATTTGCCCCGCACAACTCATCTACCTCACCCCTGAAGGCAGAAGAAGGTGGGCGTCAGAGTGGAGAGTCATTGTCCAGCACAGCTCTGGGAACCCCTGAAAGGCGCAAAGGGAGCCTAGCAGATGTTGTAGATACCCTAAAGCAGAGGAAAATGGAAGAGCTCATCAAAAATGAGCCAGAAGGTAATGCGTGGGGAATTAGACACATTTTCTATGTTTTTTTCTCTTTTGGGTATCTTATCTTCTCCCCATTTCCTGCTTTCTTTGTTTTTTTTTGCTGGCAAAATTAAACCCTAGGCTCACCTTCATTAAGAATAATTTCCAGGAGTGTCCTACTATTTCCAGCACTTGTTCAGCTTCTCCCTCATGGACCAGTACTTGGCTGTGTAAAGGTGAGCCAACACCACCACTCCAGGAACCTCAAGTCTACTCAGAGCAGGACAATTGCCATGGTGTTAACTACAATGGTGACATCCTGTGAGTCATCTACATGAGGGCTCCAACATCATTATCACCTATGGAACTAGAAACAATATTATTAATGAAGGCACATTTTTAAAAAAAATACATATATACTTATGTAGACAGCCAGTATTTGAAGGACAGAATGGAGAATTTGGTATACATGAAAACTCTTGGATCAAGTGTGCCCTCATTCATAATCCTGTTTGTCTACAGTACAGACACTATATTAGCAGATTCAGGACAAGCTTCCCCTACATCCTTCTAGCCTAACATTTGGGGATCACTTCTCAGATTTGAGTTAGTACTGGAGTCTGTACCTATTCAGTCATCTGCTACATACCAATGGACATCACCCTTCCCAGAGACCACAGACCAGCTTTCAAATAGGAAATATGTTCAATCTCTGTTAGCCTGAACTAGATTCAAGCCGGTGACCTAAAAGTGAAAGTCTCCAGATACCATTACACTCCCCTGAAACATTCAGAAAATATCATTGTAGCTGTTTTGACCAGCTTCATTTATTTCAAGGCTTCCAGGGATTTGGTGCCCTTATGTGAACCTACTGCTACTTCTTTCTTAATTTTCCTTGCAGTACTAATCACAACCTGAATTTGTATCTGTACATCCTTCTGTAGAAATTTATTTTTAAAAGTGGAAAAATCTTACCCTCAAAGCCCTCTGTTCCCCACCCCACCCCCACTTCTCCTCCCCAAAATACCCTGAGTATGAATTGATGGTGTTTGTCATTTGAAAAGTTGTGGCAGAAGTTTGGACAACTTCTATATTTAAAGAAAACTGGCTTGTGAAACTACAAATGCAAGCATAGCTCCATTCTTGCATATTTGTACACATGACATGATTGTAAATTACCCTTCTCCTCTTGAATGGGGCCTTCAGTGAGAGTCTGCTGGAAAACAAATGACGTTTAGCATTTTTTTAAAGTATTAAATAAATTGGAACATTCTGGTTTGCATTTATGCTGACTTTACAGCCATGACCTATCTTGTGCCTTTGAGTGGAAAAGACCTTCTGTATTGTGCCTATGTGTAGGGCAATGGGGAAAAGAAAAGGCCAGATTATTTATGGGATGGGGGGGAGAAGGGATTTCTGGGCAATATGTAAATACAGTGTTGAGTGGGAGGTTGTGCATGCTCCACAGACTCCATTAAGGAAAGGCCACAGTTAGACATGAGAATGGTTACAGAGCTTGTGCATTATCTCAGCTCCACTAAAATGAATATATACAGTACAAACAAAAGATCTACAGCTTTGTGAAGAGATTGGGAAGGGGGAGGGGGAGAAGCAACTGAATGTTGGCTTTACAAATGTATGCAACAGAAAATCTTTTCTTCCCTCTAGCCATTGTTCTATTGTCTTTCAAAGGCCATTAAAATGAACAGCAGGTTGTGATGAAAATTTCATTAAGCCCTACTTAAATCATTATAAGGGTGCCATATTCATGTCTCTACTTACTCCCCATCCTGGAAAAAAAAAGAATAGAAAAGAGGGTTACTCCCTCCACTCTAAAAGCAAGCTAACAAAAGTTCAGAAGTTAGAAGAGAATGGGAATCGGGATATCAAACAAAAGGAGGCCACTGAGATGAGGTGGCTAGAAAGAAAATTAGACTTGCATAAGAGCACTGAAA